TACCGTTTGTGCGGAGCTTTAATCCGCTAAACCTAACCTGCTCTTATCTCATATCTCTCCCACGAAACCACCAGATTAAGTATTACTTCATTTGAGAGAAAAGGACATTTAAGCCTCCTCTACGGCATGGACTGACTGACTCCTAATCTGTTGCAAGTATCTCAGTTTTGTCATATAATTACAGCTGCCGCTTCGCTGACATTTATTAGAAGACTGACACATATGTGTTGTCAGAGTTTCCAACGTTACACTACCGCGAGTGTAGAATTTAACTTTTCCTTTATATTTAAAAGCGGGGCACTGAAAAAATACGTGTCCAGAGTCTTCTATGCACTCTGTACAAGTCGGACAAGACGGACTAACATCAATACTTATTTGGAAAAGATACTTTCTAAAGCATCCATGCCCATTTAATATTTGGGTTAGGTGAAAATTCAGGTCCCCATGTCGTCTGTCTAACACGAATGAATTTCCGGAATCAGTCCATGAGTCCATCGTCCTTAAGATGAGGTGTGCCACCGTTTCTACCACATTGTTAGGCTCTTCGTTCTCTCCTCGTTTTTTACTCCTGAAGACGGCACTGACAGCTGGTACAGTCGCGCGAATTCGTCCCCTGGATGTCAATATACGGCATGCTGGCTAGTACTTCAGCAGCATCACTTGATATCGTTCGGAAAGCACTTATTACTCGGATTGCAGAAAGCCTATGTACTGCGTTTATTTGTCTAGCATATGATTTTATGTCTAGCGCTTGTATCCATATTGGCGCTGCATAAAATATTACTGAACTCATTGCTTTTGATATTAAAAGCGCCGGCTGGAACGTACGCAGCCTCTTTGGCCATCATTCTCGATAGAGAATTATAAATTTTGTGTGCTTTACCGGAAGTATACACCAGATGTTCTTTAAATTTTAATTTAGAGTCTAGTTTTACTCCCAGATACTTCAGCTGCGGCTGTAAAGTAATCTCGCACCCCCTATGGTGAGTGCTAACCTTCCTTCCACCTTCCTTGTGCTTATGGGGAATACTTCCGTTTCTGCTCAGCCATCTCTAAACTCATGGTAGCAAACCATTGGCGCAGACCATTTATGCAATCGTTGCATTTGAGCATGAGGTCATCTAGGTGTTTAGCCACTGCTACCACTATGAGATCATTCGCATACGCTATTGTTTTCACGTTTTTGGTTGATGTATTCTTAGTATCCGTCGTACATCAAGTTCTATAGTAGTGGGCGTAAGACCGAGCCTTGCGGTACTCCACTCGAGATAGTGTAGCTCTGAGTGCACTCGTCAGAGTCGAATAACAACCTCTCTTAGTGCGTCAATAGTGGACCTCTTTTAACTCCAAGCGGTTTCTTACAATGCTTTCGTACACTTTACCAATCGTGTCGAGCATGCACAATGGTCGATAAGATGAAGGTTCGTTCGGTGGCTTTTTAGGTTTTGGAGTAGAACCAAATGCTGCACCTTCCACGGGTCGCGAAACACGTATTCCAATATACACGCATTGTACATTTTATCGAACAAACTGGTCTCAGAGTCATGACTTCTTTTGGCTCTATTTGGTATACTATCTATTCCAGGCGCTTTGAGTTTTTAATTTTTTCGCTATAGCCAATCTTTTCTTCTGTGACTAATAGAGGGGGCTCTGTAACATCGTTTCGCATAGCATAGGAAATGTCTTATGTGTTGGAAATAATGCGTTGACGACTTTCCTCATAAATGATGCGTTCTTAGGTTGCTGCGACATATTTTTAAAATTTGACATACATAATTTGAACGCGGTTCCCCAGGGTCTATGTTTGCTTCTTCAAAAGCTTTTCAAAACAGCCTCTTTTGCTACGCGTGATTGCTGACTTTAGGAGCTTTTTTGCGTTTAAATGCTTCTCTGACGCGATTTTCATTCTCGCCTCCTGGTTACGGTGTAAGGACTCTAGCTGAGTGACAAAGCTTTCCAGCGTGGCGATTTCTTCGTTCCACCAGTATACTGGTTTTCGCTTGTTATTGTATCTCGTTCTGAAGGGGTGTTGCGGATGTATGCCAATGTGGACTTTGAAATGATTTAGTACAATTGTATATGGTTCAATATACAAGGTGCGTTCCAAGTAAACAGTAAAAATTAACAAAGTAAACTCTAGTGGCGCCATCTATGTGTCGACTAATGCGTTAGAATCTGATATCCTTTATCGACTTCCAGTAAAATTTTATGACATTTCATATATTGGAAGTGAAGTCGGTGCGAAAATGAGCTTCGAACAAAGAGCCAACATTAAATTTTGTTTTAAAATTGGTAAAACTTTACCGAAACATTTTAATTGATGAAACAAGTTTATGGCGATGATTGCCTATCCCGTAGCAGAGTGCACGAATGGTTTCAACGTTTTCAAAGTGGTCGTGAGGACATAAATGAGAATGAGCCGAAACCCAAAATCGCGCCTGGAAAAGTGTGAAGTGGAGACAATGCTGATTTGTTTTTATGATTCTAAAGGTATTGTCCACAAAGAATTTGTTCCACCCGGCCAAAACGTTTATGCGGTATTCTACCATGGAGGTTTGAAGCGTTTGAGCGCCGTGTTCGGCCGAATATCGCGAAGATGGAAGTTGGCGTTTGTTGCACGATAATGCAACGTCTCATCGATCGACGCTTGCGGCCGATTATTTGACCAAAATCACATTTTAACAATCAACGACTCCTGTATTCACCTGATATGGCACCGTGCGACTTCTACCTTTCGGAAAATTCATTTGCCGATGAAAGGAAAGCGTTATGCAGACGTGGAGCCATTCAAAAGGCTTGCACCGGCATACTGGCGGCCATACCGGGCACACTCGTTCGACATGCTTTTGGACCGTGCAAAAGCTGTATTAAGCAGAAGGAGACTATTTTAATAAAACTAATTGATTTTGCCGATAAAACCATTTGTTTC